ATAATCAAACATTAAAACCACTCTCTGAGCAACATGGTGTAAAACCCTCAAACCATGTTTGAGTATCATGTTAGGTACAATGTTTAGCACGTCCAAGAAGGACCATTTGACACTCTGGCAAAGATGGTGCTAAATGAAAAGTCCAACCTTCCAAATAATGGTTAACACATTTCAGTGTAGATCAAAATAAAGTATCGTCCATCTCATTTAAAAAAAGGCCAGATCCCAAGGACAACATTTCTTTCAGTGGTACTTTGTGCTTTTACAATATCCTCTGTTCCCTCTGTCAGTCATCTTCCTCTGCTTCTCTGCTCTCCACAGTCAACTGCATAAAAATGAGACATCAGACGCAGCTTCCTCATCATTCCCTGAACTCACAGCACCTCGGGGTGTAACCGTAATGAAATGAATATTTTTTCTCTCCCTGGGTAGCCCTTGCACTGCACTTGCATCCCCTTAAAACCAATAGCGGCTGATACAAATTAAAAGGGTTTCCAATGGCAACACTAAGAAACTTGTGAGGGCTGTGTGGGTGTGTGTGTCAGTGTGGTCTCTGTTGACTGAAATGTTGTGTAATGGGACAACACGTGCGTCAGTGTTTCCTGTGTCTCACAATATGAGATTTCTGGAAGCTAATGGCTCCATGTTATTGCTGTTTTATTGATGAGTGGTGTGACTTTCCGCTTCATAACTGTTGGAGTCCAACACGTGGTTTTCTTGCCTCAAAATGTGTTTATACATAAAAAAATTTGCGATATATAATGTATGTGGTGCAGTGGTTAACCTCACAGCAGGACGGTTTGAGTCCGAGTTTGGCCAGAGTGTTTCTGTCTGTGTGGGTTTTCCGCACTAAGCTCCGCTCTTTATATTCTGAGGAAACAACTGTGATGAAGCTTGTTATTGTATATGTTTTCCTTGTAAAGACTTTGTGCAGCATTTCAGGGCGTGACAAGACAATGAGTCATTTAAATCCAGAGTCTGTGATGTCTTGATTTAAACTTAGGTTCGGTAATTTGTTTCTGAAACACTTGAAATCCAGGATTACCAACCCCAGCTTTAAGCCAAAATCATGTTCTCCTTGAAAACACACAAGTTCTTTGTCCCAGAATTCATAAAACCTCTGAGTTTGTTAGCCCAGCTCTGCTTTGACACCTCTGCTGTGGTGCTCTCTCTCTCCAGGTCTGCTGACACTGTGCGGCGTCAGCCTCTACATCATCTACTCGTACAAGGCCCTGGCAGAGATAGAGCGGCAGGTGGGAGCAGAGGGCCTGGCCTACATTCACACCTCCTTCGGCTGGTCTCTGGGTATGGCCTGGCTCTCCTACATCCTGGAGCTCCTCACCGGTGCTCTGCTGCTCGTCGCTGCACAGATGGTCAAGGTGCAGCACAGCAGTCCCTCCATAGCCTGACACCTGGGACGCGGACAGGACAGGCACTGAACTGTATTGAACTATCAGAGTATGTTGCTGCCATGTGGTTCTATTGCTGGAAAGTATTACATCTACGACAACATACAAAGACTGAATTTAAAATCAGTTGGATTTGTTAAAAAGTGTGTTCTGAGTTATAAAGGTCAATGTCCTTAAATCCACTGCAGACTGTAAACAAAGTTTCTGCTGTGAATTGAAGTGAGTTTCATCCCTCTGGCCCATGGCCCCCTCTTGTGGTTCTGTCCACAACCACACTCATAGTATATATTCTGTGCCAAACTACACATACAAGCTCCCAATTTGAGATCATTTCCTGTTAGTTTACATATGTGGAAACATATTGTTGTATTTGTTATGCTGAAGACTGATTTGATGTCAGGTGTATTTGTTTTGAATGTTTACAGTGTTAAACTAAAATATGTTGTGCATCATCGTGCCATGTTAGCAGCATGATTTTTCTTTTTAAAATGAATATTGATTCCATGTGACGACAGCTTTAAAAGCTTCAATACTGCAGCAAATTACTGCTTTCTCCAACTTCTAGATGTTTAACATATTCCTTCAGTTCCCCAGGTTTTGATGCACAACAGTGACTGTTTCTTACTGTTTTTTCCTGATTACCAGTTACTTTACGTCTGTTTCATAAGAAAGTAAATATTAATTAGGTTATACTTGCGTTTTAGATTCTGGTATTTGTTTTATGAGATATACTTTGTGCTTCCAGCATGTTCTCACAACATTATGTGTTATAAGGCCTGATCCTCAGTTATCTCTCATCACTCCTGTGATAAACGTGAGGCGGATCCTCCTCGTTGGCTTAATGAAATTGTTAATTGTGCGTGACCTTTGTTGATGTCGTCAGTGACATGGAGGCAGGTTTGTGTCCCAGTTCAACAGAATCCACTGTTACTATGGTAACAGCCAGGGCAGTTTACGATTTAAATTAAGAAATGGAGTAATCTGTCTGTCAATTTTCTGAAGACACACTCACTCGCTGTGGTCATCAACACTCACGCCATTTTTGAAGTCGATAAGATGAGATGTTGACAGAGACTTCTCAATTTAAAGTTAGATATTGTTTAGTTTTTGAACAGTTTTTTCTGTTGCTTATATTCTGTAGTTTTTAGCACTAATATTTTATATTTACATAAATCATTCCTGTTTATTCTTTGTGAATATGTGAGTCCTAAATACAAATGCAACAATTGAGGTTCATACAACTTCAGTTCCTTGAATAATAAATGATTACGGTTACGATTGTGATTTTCTGAGACAAATATATTGTAAAGGCAAATTGAGAAATTGACTTGGTGGTAAAGTGAGTCATGTTTAATGAGATGAGATCATCCCTGCTCATTCACAAACACAGTGCTTCCAGAAAATGACACAGCCTGGCAGCCAGTTCATTTATTAAGACATGAAGTAGGCACCAAGGTCCCAGCTGTATGAAACAAACGAGTCTTAGATTCAGTCATTTCTTCAAACAGTGATTAAACAACAGGAAACGCTCCAATAACAGGAATGATACACTCACTACATCACTAAAAATAAGCTGGAGCAGAGACCTGACTGGAGACGTCAGTCTGCTGCTCAGATTCTAAACTTTAGTTTAGCTCAAAGAACATGGAGGTTAATCATAAGTCAAGCATCTCGGTCGCCTCCTGGTGGCTTGCTGCAGTATAAGACCTCCACGATGTTAGTGGAAGGGACATGGACCAAACTAAGAAGTCAAACTACAGATGAAGTACATTTTTCTCAAAGATGGCTTCTGTCATTTTCAGATTCCTCTTATCACACTGGTGTTTGTGAAGTGGCAAGTTTTCTGGTAAGTTTGGTTGTAGTTTGTCAAAAGAAGCTCCCATGATACTCAAACCTCCAACTGTAACTCAACAGCACTGCAGTTACTTTAAGGTTAACAGCTCTTTAAGGCAAGGTGATCCATGAAAAATTAGGCCTCATAATAAAAGATTACTTTACAAAAAGATGGAACCAAACAGTTCATCAAATAAATAATAATGTTCTTAGAAAATGACATTTTCTCATATGTACATATTACAGATTGTTCCATGTAGCTGTGATCAGGGAAGAACCTCCATCATAATATTGGAGGGCACTGGCTGATGTTTGCACATTGGCCAGTCATATTGATTTATCCATCTCATCTCAATATGTGTGTATAGGTTGTTGGGACGAGAGGAAAAAGGCAGATTTGTCAGCTGTCGTTCATTCTTCTGATGCTAGATATTACCCATTAAAGTCCTGATGTTCTGATCCATTTTAATCAGGTTTCTTTCTGTGCTTCTGTCTGTTCGCCGCTTCACACTCGCAGTTCAGGACGGACGAAGACGACGGCACTTTCTGCTCTTGCTCATTCTCTGAGCGGCCACATGGACCAATGGAGTGCACCGATTTCAGCTCAAGTAACGAGCAAAGAGACAAATCATCAAAAAAACACAGCACTTGCACGATACTTCCAACGCTGCCACAGAGAAGTAACTTCCAGCTGTGGTGTTTCATCAAAGATACAAAAAATAAGAGGAGGAAGAGGGCGGGTTGTGTCAGCCAGGTAAGCACACCTTCCCTGCAAACAGCAGGCCCACGATGGTGAAGAATATGGACAGAACAAAGAGCACGTAGGAGGAGCCCACCACTGTGTTGTTGGGCAGCTTGTACGGCTGACCTCCAACCTCGTTCATGTAGAAGCCAATGGGGAATATGAGAGCGGCCATACAGAACAGGACCACTGTGAGAGAGAGAGAGAGAGAGGACGATTAACATCACCTACCAACCAGCATCACTTACTACACCTGGAACAAAGAGTTATTCAAAAGTAAAACGGCAAAATTGTCACAGTCTTCTTGCATTTGCTCCTCATACACTCAACGGTTTAACTTCAGTAAAAGTACAAATTAAGAGACAAAGAGTACCACATTAACATTTCTATTTGAGTAAAAGTAAGTACTTAATTTTCAATTTATTTAAAGTATTAGAAGTAAAAGTACTTGCAGTGTATCCTATTCCCTAATGCAATACTTTACTACATCATTAACTGAGCCTATGGTATATTTAGTTAAGTAGAGGAATGATACAGATCATTTTTTTATTAATGAAACATGCTGCAGATAATGTTACTGAAACACTTGTATTGTCATTTATTGTTTTATATGTATTTATACTTATTATATTTTACTTTATACCTACATTTATACTCATACTAAGAACCTATTCTTCATACTTACTTTTATATTTTCTTGTTTTCTTGTTTGTTATTGTAACATGTGAACAATATCTGGCATGAGTTTCCTTCAAGATTAATAAAGTATATTTTATCTTATCTTATCTCATCACCATTTATTTATTTATTGCATAAATGATGAGATCACTAGAAGTTATGGATAAACAGGAGACTAAAGGTAAAAAGTGGGGACGCGGCTAAAGTAATGGATACATGGCTCAAATAGTCCGTTGACGGGATGAGTTTATATAATAGTTTTTCCAACATTAAATATTTTGTTTCCAAATCTTTACGTTTCATTTAGAGAAAACATTCAGATTTTAAAATGTGTGTGGAAATAAAAAGCTGCCCTCGTATCGACGGTCTGTGCTTGAGAACTAGCTGCTCTTCTATATATAGAGCCGTGTGAAGCCAGACTCCTGCCACAGTGCTCTCGAACACAGACTCATTTTGTCTAATCTAACCCTAAAAATAGAGGCCGGCTCATCAATTAGAGCTCCTCAACAGCCACTTTGACGTAATTAGCAGACAGAAAAGAAATGCATTAATGTGGAGTCAGGCTAAGTCTATTTCTTCCACATAAACGGTAAGGGAAGGTTTTGTCTCATGGTTATTTTCTACCCTTGGTTTGCAGTTAAAATGTCTTTTGATGTTTGAAAGGCTGATCTCAACTTTCAGTTTATTCCGGATCTTTGAGTATCATTTGAAAGAAGAGAGAAAATCAATACAGGGTGGAATGGATAATGCATGGACGTGAAGGGTGCAATTAAATTGGAAAATCCCTCTTGTCATCACAGGTTATAATGAAACAGGATAAAAACTGAGAGTGAACACCTACTCCCCATGAAGGCAATCCATCGTGCGTATCGGGTGGCCTCGCGGCGCCAGTGTGACATCACCAGCAGGCCGCAGGTGACGGTGAGGGAGACGATGCCGAGTAGGATGAGGAAGAGCGTGGTGATCCACTCCGGGGGCAGCTGCGGAGGGATGCAGGTCCGGTCTCGACCGTGGATGGTCTGGCATTGGCGGACCAGCCCCACGGTCAGAGAGCCTGGATGAAGACAGATAAGAGGAGGAGAGTTCAGGTTAAAGAAAACTCTTCTTATTGGATCCTTCAACAAAGCAGTTAAATATGTTGGGGGTTTCCTATCTTTATTCAAGAGCGAGGTTTTTCCTTTTAGAGGACATGTTGATATAGTTCAAACCCTGCACATAGTGTACCTCTAGTTAACATACGTGATTCTTTATACAACAAACTCAATCTAATTCACAGCAGCATGTTGTGACATAATTTGTCTGTGTGTTGAACACTCCCAGGAGCCTCTCTGGTACCCCAAAGTGACCGCGGGCAGAGGAACTGTTGGTATGGAGACAGGTTGATGGGCGGTGTGTGCCAGCAGCAGCAACCCCCCCCCCCGAAGAGATCAATTCCCCTACATCATCATTGCAAGTCACTTGATGGCCTCCTGTGTCCCAAAGACACACAAACACTTGGAGCCCGATAGAAAGAGCAGCTGCTCGACTCTCCATCCAGACTCCCTGTGCTGGAATCCACCCGGCATCGTGCAAATGAGAGAAATTAAATCCTCCCACTCCTTCATTTATTCTTTTGTCTGTCTCCCTTCTTTTTCTCGCCTTCCCAGAAATCAGTCAGTGCCCAGAAGGCAGAACACAGAAGAAAGAGGAAGTCTGTGCATTCCATGTATTGAATTGTAGAATTAACAAGTGAGTAAAACACAGGAAATATATTTTATATTATAGACCTTCATTTGCATTTAAATGTTAAGGACTTTAATATATTATGTGTGAAATGCCATAGGAGAACATTTATGGATGTATGGATTATACCAAACTGTTAAGGTTTTATTCCTGCTCATTCCACAGATTTCTCATCATAATAAACAGAGAAAAACATTCTCCACCTTTATGAGCACATCTCTCCCCTTGTATCCCCTCATGCCACGAAATGAAAATAAACACTTCCTCTAAATATTTGATGTTGGCATGGAAAAGCTTCAGTTCCTGACAGTGGATCATGGATAGTGCTGCCGGGTGATGATACCAGAACCAGACTAATGGAAACAACAACAGGCCCAAACCACATCCTCCTGCGGGCTGACCTCCTTCCCCTACACACAGGATATCCTGTTCCCTCTCAACACCACGGGGTTGGGGACAATGTAAATAGTGTGATCACATCCCTTCATCGAGGACTCCACACCAAACCAGAGCAAGTTAAAGAGCACAAACAGAGTGCGTTTTTACAGTCTACACACAGCTTCATTTTACTGTTTGTCTAGTTACACTTACTTCAGGTATTACTGCTGAACTAAATTTGTGCAAACTCAAATAACTGGTCATGGATGAATGGAAAGATATTGATGGTTGCAGCATAAAAAGGATGTGTCACACGACAAGCTCCCATAGCTGTCTGTTCCTCAAACTCGTGGAGCACAGGAGTTGACTTTATTCTTGACGTGTGCTAAAGTGTTGTGTTGAGAGGAACATGTGTGAATTTTCAGAGGAGTGGAGCGGGGTTCAGCAAATACAGGTTAAAGTCAGCCACTTGAAACACACACACACACACACACACACACACACACACACACACACACATACATACACTGCATGTCCACACTGGTGCTCAGTTTCTCACTCACACACACAAACACACAGTGCACACATACTGACCCTGTGTGGAATGAAAGAGCTGCACAGTCAAACAAGGTTACCTGTGTGTTTGGACAGAAGCTGTAATGAATTCAGCTCTGCTTTTACCAGTGGTGTGATTCTGAATGATCTTAAAAAATGTATATACAGAAGCTCACTCAGAGTGAACTTTGCCACAGTAATATCATAACTTTCTATCTTTTCCTTCTCTTGTATGAGTTTTTAAAACCCAGAGAGACCCCTAAACAGATTTAGCAACTGGTTCAGGCTCCGTACGGAGGCACAGATTGAGAGAAAATCCTCTGACGTGAACACTGAGCTCTCGCAGGCAAAATAAAATATGTCATGACTGTGCCAGCGGAGTCTGAATTCTCCAGGTGGAAAACAGTTCTCTCCCAGGGGTCCTCATTAAAAGTCACACGTCTTCATTCCCAGACAACACTTCCTGCCTTTAGGCAATTACCACCCGGCTAATTGAACAGGAACAAAGGGCCTTTTAGTGCAGTAAGTACAGTCATGCTACAACATTGTTCAACACGAGGAACAGAAGTGTAGAGGGGGGAGAGCTTGTTCTGAACTTCAGTCCATTCCTGGACTGTGATGATAGAGGACAAATAAACAAGAGTCGCTGCATATTAACTGATAAAACCAAAACAGCTTGTATTGTTTTCACTGCACAAGGCTTTTCTTTTTTTACAACAAATGAAATCCTGTAATAACCACGTAGCACGTCTGCTACATGCTTATCTCCACTGCAGTGTACGGATGGAGGCTAACAAGAGCCTCTGTTGGCTGTACACATACTGTACTGGTACTGTTTGTCTGTCGCATCAGTTTTAGTCAATGTTTATCTTTGGACTTTGCATCTGAATATTTCTCTATTGCAATAATCAGGGACGTTGACTGTACATTCAACAGACAACACTTTAATTCTAGGACTGACTGCACAATCTGTGCAATGTGGCTTCTCACTACAATGATAATTATAAAGCATCAGTAAATTAGGATTATTACTAATTCAGATACAATCATTTAAATGTATGAAAACACGTAACAATATAAATATTGTATCTGTCGTTAAATATCAAACAATCAAACTTCACAATTTACACATTAAAGGGGAATAGTGTAGAATCTGTGGGTTGGTTTGTATGAAGTTGCTTTTTTGGATATGAATGATAGACCGTATATAAAGATGGATGACATCCAGAAAGGAAGCCGAATTATCCAGGATATGAACAACGGCATCTTGCATATTTGGAGCTAGAGTCTGTAGTGATCGAGGGATGGTGTTGATCAGATATCTTAATTTTTCTTCTTACCTTTCCCTCATTTCTGAATTATTTTTCTTAAACACTCAATATGTTCGCCCTCACTAGAGGAAAATCTGAGAATAAAGAGAAATCCCTGCTCATGACCTCTGATCACCAGTAACCTGTGACAAACCAAACAGGTTGACAGTCACTGCTCGATGACTGAAGTCTGACATAAAGTTGCTCATGTGATGTGTCTGATGTCTGTTCAGCCTCAGAACTACTGGGTGTGATGGGAGTTTTTCACACTGGCTTTAAAAAACTTTCCAAACTTTATCAAAAGGAAAAACCTCCAGGTAAACATAACCATATCTGTTTAGATCCTATGACAGATGTTTAGCTCTCCATGCTCCCATGGATGGAGAGGTCAGAGGTCAGTGCAGGAGTGTGGACCAATCAGCAACAACCAGCACCTACCAGCTGATTCTCCGGTGTTGATCCAGTCCGGGTTGACGATGCTGGCGATGGCGAAGATGTCCGCAGCGAGGAAGAGGCATCCTGAGATCACGGTGAGTTTATCCATGTCGGTGCGCTCAGGTGCGGGTCACAGTGTTCGTGCGCCTCGGTCTCACCTCCCCGGGACATGGACACGTCAGTGACCTACAGCCCCGGCACAGGTCTCCTCATCCCGGTGACGATGATGATGAGGAGGAGGAGGAGGAGGAGGAGTGGGTCGGTCCAGAACTCGTCCCCGCATCTCGCTTGAGTCCTTGCGGGGAGACACCCTTCTCCAGCCCAGAGGGTGAGGATCGCTGCCCGGGTTCGAGGATCACCTATACCCGCCTGGTCCTCCACCGCATTCCCGTGATATGTCCCAAAAAAAACTAAAACTTTAAATTCTGCTCAAGTCTCCACATGTGAGATTTTGCTTCACGCATGCACTCGACTTATTTTCTGCAGAGATCGAGCCACGGTCCTCTGCACGCACACAGACAGAAACCAGCGGCCATGTTCACACTTTAACTCAATCTGAGATTATAATCCCGTCCTCCACGATCTGAGTTTCAGTCGGTTTGCTCCGTCAAACCTAAAAGCTCTGAGTCAGTGATCTACCGACGATGCTGTCCTCACTGAAAACTCACATCTACTGAGCTCACGTCTGTAGCAGCCAACTCTCGCGAGAACATCCGCAACTCCTGCCACCTTTATTATGCAATCATTTCAATGAGCTGCAGGGAGAAGCTCAGATTGTACAGTTACATCCTCACGATCATTCGGTGCAAGCTTTCGGCTACATCACGGTGCTCTCACCACCAGATGTGAGTTAGATCAGTGGTGACCGAGATGACAGTTTTAAAATTGGTTCAAGAGTTCTATGCATTTCCTCAGACTTCTCATCATTATTGCTTTGATTGATCGTTCTTACTTGGATTTGGTCCAAAGCGCCAGAGCAAGTAAGTAAATGACAGATTCTGCAGGTGAACAGTCAGGCAGGGACATGTCGGGCAGGGACGTCTTCTGGTTTCTGTCTCAAGTTTGACAAATCATGTTTGAACAGATTATGGTTGAGAGCCGGAGCACATTGACTCAAAATGCTTTGATTCTTAACTTTAAAATGTATCCTGAGTCTCAGCCCAAATGTCCACAATCTACGCTGAAAGTCCTAAAATATTGGTCATGGCCCCAGAGGCTAATTTATCAAAAAACGACAGTCGATGGGCTCCGAGATTGTAAATAAACTAACAAGCAAAAAAAGTGAAACATTTTATAGCATTAAGACACCAACAAAACAATACAATTCATGTGTATGGTAGATAGAATTTCTTTATTATTTTACATCAGCTGTACAGTAAATGTGGACAGATGAGTGGAGCACGACATTGTGATGCACCAGAGCAGCATCGACTATATACTGTGACAACACCTATGAAAACCCAGTGGTGTTATGGCAATATAACACTCAATACAATAGCATTGCAAAGTGTAGAGAAGATTTCCTGTCAAAATATGGAGGGGACAAACGTTTCTTTGCCGTCATAGTTGGATGAAGTAGAAGGTGACGTGGGGGCTTTAGATCTCGTCCACGAAGGGTGTTTTTATGAGGTTGCCGCTGGACGCCATGGTCTTCTTTCCAGACACAAATTTGCCAGCAGCCTTGAAATGAAATAGAAAAAAATAAGACACCGTTAAAATGACAATTTTACAAAATGTCAGGTTTCACATTTATCTACTGTTGAAAATGTTCATCTTTTGGGCCAAATTATCTCTCTATACAACGATTTATGAGCCTCAGTACAAAGAAAGCTGAGATTGTCCTAGTTAACATACAATATGCAAGTGCCTGCAAATTTAATAAAACAAAATTATGACAAAATGAAAAAATACATCTTCTATCAATACAAAGAAACTTTTAACCCATTATATGATTACTGACTGATTTATCTTAGTTGGTAATAAATTACTACTGAATCATAACATTGACCAAACATCTTACGTTGGCGACATCAGTCAAGGAGATGTTGTCGATGGTCTTGGTGATTTCCTCAGGGGAGACGTAGGATCCCTCAGTCAGAGCCTGAGTGCCCAGTGCCTCCAGCAAACCCTCTGAAGTCTCCAGAGACATCAGGTACTGTCCCTTCAGCTGAGTCCTGAGGAGCAAACAAAGACACGGCCAACATCAGCTGCTGGAGTTCAAACTCAGCAAGGACAACATTTAATATGGTGAAAAAAGAACAGCAGATAAGGCTCATTTAAGCTCAACGTTAGACGTGAATATGAAAAACGATGTTGCGTGTTTTTAATGTTACTGTTGACCTCATTTCCTTGGTGTTTACCGTCAACAGAAACATCAGCTTTGTTCACAATGTCGTGATCGTCTCATCTGTATTTTTGGGAAAGTCAAAGTATCTAATCATCTGTCTCTGTGTCTTACTTGGCCCGAGTAAGGTCGGCAGCTGTGACTCCACCATCAGCGACGTTCTTCACCTCGGCAAGAGCAGCCTTGATCACCTGCAGAGAGGTCACATCAAGATATTTCACTACTTTGTATTAGGATAAGGTTGTGATGGTAAACTCCTGTTGTGACTGTGGGATACTCACATCACCAGCAGCTCCAACCTGGGAGATGGTGTAGACCCCAAACAGACCAGAGTCGGAGTAGCTTGCATTAAAAGCACTGACCTGTTCAAAAAAGAGAGAATGTGGGGGGAGAAGTTGTTAAGCCAAATAGGAATGGATACATGACTCTATCTGCATCAGTGTTTCAGCCGGCAGCTGGCGGTCATACTCGTCTACCGGCAAAGGGAAAGGAATTATTTGTCTTTTTTAGTAGGTTTACCTGTGTTTAAAAAAGTTGCTACTTTTGTTAAATAGATTTGATACTGTCGAAAATATGGTTACCATGCACACACACTCCTCTACAGGTACTGCCAGGGTGCCATGTTAAGCCAGGGAAAGCCCTGTAGTGCAAAGTTTCTTTTACAAGTTTCTGTGATGAGCTGACAAACCACTTACATCAAAGGGGTCCGCAGTTGCCTTGGCAACCCCTTGGATCAGTTTGCTGGAAGTGTTGGACCCCCTCTTGACATGCGGACCAGCTCCCAGTACATGCTGCAGCACACTGAAGGCCACAGCCTCACCGGTGCCCGCCGCTGCTGACTGGCTCACCACCGCTGAGTGCACCAGACTGGCGAGGTTGGCCAGACGGACCTCACCTGGAGAGACAGGAGGAGAAAAGACCGGGAGGAATACAGAGTCTTTTACTTTGTTTGCTCTGAAGTTTTAAAACTTTTATATGACAGGTGCAGCTCACCTCCACGATACTGAGCCTTGGCTCCCGTGGTGCCTGCTCCACTGCGGATGTTGAGGAATTGCTCTCCGACTTGCTTCAGCACAGCGTGGTCAACACCTGGAGGAGAGGCGAACACCATAAACCTAATGGTCTTCACCACAGAGCATGTTACTTTAATGTCCACGTCCATTAAGATTTCACCTTACCAAGTCCCACAAGCGCCATCCTTGCACTCGTGAAATTGTTCTGGACAAACTGGTGCAGCTGGAGGAAAAAGCAAACATTAAAAAAGTGGGAATGCATTTTAAATCAGTTTTAACAGACTGAACACTGGAGGAATGCTCACATGCTCAGACTGGATGTTGCCAACCATGTGGTCTGGGCAGTACAGAGAGTTAGACAAGGCGTTCTTGTAGGCAGCTTCATGGAGAGCTTCGATCACAGCTGGGAAATGAGAAAGATGTTGATCGTTAACTGCAATATTCATGATGTTGAAGCAGGAAGAATACACTCAAGCAATTAAATTAGTCTGTATGATAGAGACTCCAAAGACACTAACTGAATCTAAAATATCATCCGTTTTCAGCACTTGAGTAAAGTTTTGCGGAAATGAAGTATTGATAATTTTTTTCACCAATAATTATATTAAAAAAGTTCAATAAACTAGATGTTCCATCATGTGTACTTTAGTTTACAGTGAGGAGGAAGTTAAGGATTGGAGCTTTAATTGTGGCAGTAAAACATCTTGCTTTTAAGACAGCATTTTTTGAATGGGATTAAATTATAAAATTAATATGTGCACAGGGGAAATAAAGCCTCTACCCATCTGAGTGCTCTGTGCAGCTTGAGCTTTGTCCATCTTCACTCTGGATGTGAGGTCAGAAACCTCCCATGGCCTGAACTCTGGGGCTGTCGTCACATTGATCAGATACTCCATCACAGTGTCACTGCAGACAAAAAATAAAAGGAAGGAGAGAGGAGGGCAAAAAAACCCAACCCTGTTATTGATTTGACTCCACAGAAAACTGGACACGACAATCCACCAGTCCTGAACTAAACTTAAACAGCAACATGTGCATGTGATGTGAATGCAATATGATCACATAATTGTAATTATTCAAAGACTCACATGTCATCTCTCAAGCAGTCGACAGTGTACATCATGTTCTCTCTGGATGAGGTCACACTGCAGAGAAGTAAACACATACAGATAGAAATGCAGAGACTTGTGTACAGTGGTTTGCTTTGACCTCTTTCTTTTTTTGGTCACTGACCTCAGGCTGCCTCCCACTGCCTCAACTCCACGACATATCTTGAAAGCGGAAGCTCCTTTGGTTGTCTGAAAAAGTATTTCAATGCTACGATGAGACAGAACCCAGTATTCATTATGTTTGTTGTGTTCTACAGATTAACACATACAATACCAAATGTGTACTAGGGACTGGTTTGTACATTAGAGCTTGTACAGTGTCAGAGACGCATTATAGCTAATGAAATAATATAAAGGAAAACAGGCTTTGTAGGTAAATCATACCAGGCTAGAAGCCAGTCGGAGAAGGTGAGTGACCCCACGGTTTTCAGGGGTCTCATAACGACAGCCGGCCTTGACAACCACTCCGATCTTGGAAGCAGGGGAATAGTTTTCAAGTGAGGCGATCACCAGTCCACTGGACAGTTTGGTGACCTGGACAGAAGGAGGCATAACCGTTTTAGACATGACCTGCAGGTAAAATACAGAGAATTGGCTACAGAGTTTACCTGTAGTCTAACTTTCACACATGTACAACACATAAGAGGTTCCCTGCACAGAAACTGAGCGTCTCACGCGGACATTTGTATTCACACATACACAGAGAAAATCTAGAGGTAATGTAGAATTCAATGCATATCTGAAAGCAACTATACTGTGAAATCCATGAGATGTTAGATTTGCTTGTTAGGGAGAACGTGCTGATCAATACACAGAGTAATTCAGAATGAAGATTGGTTTCTATTTCAAAATGACATCGACGGATGATTTGATATTTTCAACTCAGCATAAGAGAAAATACATAATTACTCCATTAAGCATAACCAAACTTTTTTTTTTTCTTTTTTTTAAACAACTTATATCTTCATTGTCAGACCCAGAACCACACTGGTCCCCATCACTCCCCAACATACATGGACATCCTGGTAGGAGTGGGCAGCCCCAGGAGAGAGCTTGAGCCCTGCCAGGGGCTGGACGAGGGACTGGCTTGTCCTGGCAGCCACATGGAACCGTCTCTGTGGAGGAAAAAGAAAAGTTAACCACCACTGACCTGCACTTCCTGCGGCTGAAACTTTACGCGTTCGGCAGCCCCGGTGGCCTTCACCTTACGGGCAGCCTGGGCCGCATAAAGCCTCGTCTGGAAAAACAGAGAACATTGGAAGGTGGAACATTACAACTTATGTGTCGCCGGCTGGTTGTCAGATGTAAAAGCAGTGTGAGAAGAAGGGTGAAAGATTGAGAAATGATGCACTAGGAGCCATGAATGTGACAAAATAAATCACAAGGATTAGTATCTGCTCTGGAGAATTTTCCAGCATGAACGGTTCTTTAAGGGCTTCTGAATTTGACCATTACATTAGACGTCAAGATAAACTCCATCTGTTGATGAATTTCACAATATCAAAATCAGGACTCTTTGTTCAAAACATTAACACTACAGAGCTCTGGTTTATAAGCTGGTATTACTTCTGTGTCTTACCAACATGGAGTTATCTTAGTTCCAACACAAGGCACAACTTTTCTATTGGTAAAAGAAAAAGCACGTGTGTAATATTACCGTCAATAAGACAGCTGACTGAAAACAAATGTGAGTTGCATAAGAATGGAATGGATGATGCTAAGTCTGCCCAAACAGGAAGCTAGCCGCTGTGTAGCCTGAGCTAACAGTTGTGAAGATCCTGGTTTAAGTCAAATGTTTCCACTGTCCATAAACGAGTATTTTAACTGGACCTGGTGAATCTTTATAATTCTGTTCAGCGCTGGTGGAACACAACAGGCTTCATCTGACCGCTTCCTCCTCTGCTCCTCACCTCCTGCTGTCCTCACCTCCTCCTGTCCTCACCATGTTTCCCCCCGTCTCTCTCACACCCAGAGAAACTAACGACTGCTTCCGTTTACAACGCATCCACCACTACAACTACACGACATGTAGGTTTGATGATTCCTTACCGAGAGCTGACTTATTCCCCGAATCCCCTTCATCTCCCCTCTCTCCTTCGCTCAGGACGATGAAGCAATATGGCCGAACTTCAAAGTGCCCTACCCAGAATGCACAGCGCGGTCCTCGCTCGCCCAAGTTAAGCGGAGCCAACGGGAACGCGCCCTCTGCTGGCATGGAGGTGAAAAGACCCAAACTAACCCATGTGTTCGTAATAAGACCTTAGTACACAACACACTGATTTAAACTTTAACCTTACGAACATCCTTAATCCGTGGAGTAGATTTGACCCCAGGAATTTAAACTCTAATTTATATGACTAATATATCTTACTAATACAGACAGATGAGAAATTAAAGGGAAACTTGTTTACTGAAGTTACTGAAGAAAAAAAGCAAATTCAGATACTTAACAGTCACCAGATGTCAACACAATTGAACTTTCGGACCAACCGATGTCGGTTTACACAACCGATATCAAAACATCAAAATAGGAAACTTCGTTTAGATGAATCGTGTTCATCCCTCTTTATATACAGTCTATGGTTCATCCTCACAATAAAGTTCAGAGATTTGGAGAATCAATGCCAAGATTTATTGAAGCTGTGCTGGCAACATGTGGAAGTCAAACATCTCACTGACCTTAACTTGATTTAATATTTATATTTATATAGAAATTAAATAATGGTGATACAAATGTAATGGTACATCACCAATGAAATCGTGTGTTCTTCATTTTTTCTTTTTAAAGACTACAACTTACAACAATTTGAGTATTTTTCTCAGTAACAGGTGATGAGGAGTCTCCTTAAATGGTTAATCTAGTTATATATAAACACTTAAATGTTGTATTTTTTATTCCAAAATATATCAAAATAAAATACATAATTCACAAATACTGTATTATAATATAATGTATGTTATATATATATATATGTATATATTACATTTTGATTATTGTCGTAGCATATAATTTCGTGAATCAAAACATTGTTGCTTATGTATACCACTACTAGTAATGTGTTTTATAGTGTCGGTAGTACTTCCTGTTGTTTCGCTCTCCAGTGCGCATGTGCGTCACCTCACACGTGCTGTAAACGTAGTGACTCCTGCATGTGAACTCAGCTCTGAAACTTTTCCTCATCGCTGTAAAATCTTGTCAACGAATCGAAGATCTCGTCTCCTCTTCATCAGCGGGTGAAACAACAAGTCCTCCGTGAAGCTTTTCGCCGAGAGGGCCGGAACAGCAGAAAACCACCTCACCATGGTGAGTGTTAGCTCTGAATGAAGCCCCGTGCTAGCTCACCAGCTAACTGTTAGCAAGCTAAAGTGACCAGGCTGCACCGGGAACTGAGCGGAAACTAAAAACTACATGTTAGTTCACTTTATAAAGCGTTTCCTTGTGGGTAATGTAGTTGTGTTGCTGTTGTTGGGTTAATCCTTGGCAGACTGAACCTCAAGTGAACCCGAAGGCCTACCCGCTGGCCGACGCCACGCTGACCAAGACCATCCTGGACCTGGTGCAGCAAGCCTCCAACTACAAGCAGCTGAGGAAGGGAGCCAACGAGGGTGAGCTGCCAGAACTACACCTAACCAGAGTCTAACTATCAGAAGCTCCTGATATGATCGTGTGTGTCTACACTGATCTGTGTTCACATCATTGGTCTGTGAAACGTGCTGGTCCCACATGTTATCACAGCTACAAACACAACCTCACTGCGGGTCTGCAACTCAACTTTAATGGTCGAAAGGAAACATATCTCTTTTATAATAGTAGTTCTGTCAGGAGTCAAAGTTTCTGCAAAAAGAACCAATTTTATGAATGAAAATGGGTCTCAAATGTATTATCTGTATATAAATCAAAATACAGAACGTTTGTTAGTGATCTACACTTTTCAAAATCACTACAGTGCACGACATACATACTACATAGTCACCTATAACATCCCATTGATTTTGATGGTTGTGGTCATAGCTCAACTGATGAATCATATATATGAACCTTTCATAGACTTAATGTTGTCCCTGTTTTGAATGTGTATTTATGGTTATTTCACATATAAATATATATTTAAGTAGAAAACAAATACATAGAATTAGATTTTAAGATAATAAAAATAGTCAAGAGTCTATGATTACTCCCCGAATATTTGTATCTGCAAAAATCCTCATTTATCTAGTTTTGGTTGTGTTCAGGAAGAAAATCACCCAGAATCTGTGGGGGGTTTGCAGAATCACTTCTAAAATCAATAGAGAGCTGTCAATTTAAAATGATTCCAAGTTGTGGAAACGTTGACGCTAAAACTGTTGTTCTTTTCTCTTCCAGCCACTAAAACCCTGAACAGAGGCATCTCCGAGTTCATCGTGATGGCTGCTGATGCTGAACCACTGGAGATCATCCTCCACCTGCCACTGCTCTGCGAAGACAAGAACGTCCCGTACGTCTTCGTCCGCTCCAAGCAGGCCCTTGGCCGGGCCTGCGGGGTGTCACGCCCCGTCATTGCTACCTCTGTCACCATAAAGGAGGGATCTCAGCTCAAGCCGCAGATTCAGTCTGTTCAGATGGCTATAGAGAGACTGCTGGTGTGAGTTCTGTCGCACTGTCGTCCCAATGTCTCCCGGAGCAAGAGGAGAATTCCAGTTTGAAAATAGTTCTGTTTGATTTAAAACAGTTGTTATGCATGTAATTTTGATTTTTAGGACATTGCATTTACTTCTGTGTATCATTTTGCAAAAACATTGCTTGGTTCTTAATAAAATCTTCTTCTTTTTTTACTTAAACCTGGTGACTTGGTCATGTTATATTCATCTTTGCTCATGTTGTAAACCTGTTAACTGTATCAAAGTTTTCCCAAGTCAGTGATACATTTTTGTTGCAGCCAAATTCAGCAGCAAGAAATTTCAACCTGCAGGGTTTGTGGCCACATTCTTCTGGCAACTTAAACAGTGATTCACTGTTGTCTGTTTGAATTATGGTCAGAGACAGGTGGGTGTAGGAATGTTTGGTACTAACATACAGCCTCACTTTTCCTGTCTCTATTTAGAATCCAATATTTACTTCATTATACATAACGTGAACATACATGCAACTGAAACATTAACATAAGGTCTTCCTGTAAATAACTAGATACTAGTTACTAAAAGGGATTTGAGGGAAATATTAAGTGTGATGCTGCACCTTTAGTAAAAATAGTGAATGGCCAACATTCCTATTTGAAGTACTCAGATCTTTTAGTGAAGGTTCCAGTGTAAAAATTGTTAAGTAAAATTATCTTGGCAAAAAAACGTAGCAGTACAAAATGTATTTTATATTCATTTTATTGAATATTGTCTTGTCTTGTTGTGGAACATGGATCACTTTAATGTTATTATTATTATTAGGGCCATATCTAAAAGAAAACGTGAGATGCTGATATGATATATGATAACATGCAATATAATAATGTTACTAGAATAAAGTTAGATTTCAGAAGAAAGTCATATGGGGATAAAATATGCCATATAATATAATAAATCTTTGTTCTTGTAAAATTATGACTTTTCTCTCAATATTGACTTCTATTCTTTCAATCTTGTAACTTAATTTTCAAACTCTCAAACATTTCTCCATTGTTCTTCAACTCTTAGAGCCTTCAGATATTTAAAAGTTGTTTAAAGTAGCAGAACAGGAAAATGATGACATAACTGCGTGAGCAAATACTTACAGTAAGAACAATTTATACCTAAATCCAAATAGAATGGTGAGAGGTAATATAGCACTACTACTTCTAACTACTTCTAAAGCCTGTCCTTCCAGTTCCACACCTCCACTGTTACCATCTCTAAAAAAAATTTAAACTTTACTGCAGCTCTTCAACGCAACTCATCAGACCTGTTGTTGACGTCCTGTGGTGTGAACGCAGCCAGGACGCACTTTGGATAGATCCAATCATGAACTCGTTTATAACAGACAGCACGTTGCAAATACTCAGCTGACGTCATCTGAGCTGCTGCAGAGTCAAGGGAACAGACACGCCCACCTCTCCACACATAAAGACATGAACTCTCACATACTTACTGAGAACGGACACATCTGTGTGTCCTGACACACAACTATTTCACTGGCTCTTTGCGCACAGCATTTCCAGTGGACTTATTTAATTTATTTGAATCGCGGAGGTCAGTCATGGCTGAGCCTCCTGTTGTCATATGGGAAGACGAAGTCAGGGAGCTGCTGACTTACAGAGCCCTGGTGCCGCGGCTGGAGGAGGCTCTGGGTAAGTTCTCCAGGCGGGACAGCGCTGAGGTGATCCAGCCGGTGCGCACCACAGTGGCCCTGAAGGAACACAGCGGGTAGGTCTGCTCGTCTTCACTGCAAATGGAGCAAAAGCATTGCTGTTGCTGCTAACACTTATTAAACTTGCTCAGGTTCCTGGGGCTGATGCCTACCTACATGGCGAACGATGGAGTCCTGAGCACAAAGTTCGTGTGTTTCTACAACAGGGAGGCTGGTTCCACTCTGCCAGCCACTCAGGCCACTGTGGTGCTGCTGGATCCAGAGTATGGGAATGTTAAAGCTGTGAGTACATCTGGCACATGCATGAATGACTGACAAAAAGATGAAAACTAGAATTGCCGTGCACAAACCTCTGCCAAGGCCCAACTCTCCCCTTACCACATTTATATTCGCTAGATTTTCCCCTGATTTTAATTTCGATCAGCACCAAATTGCACCAATATCTGTCCCTGAAACATTCCTGATTTTTTTCATCAAGATCCACAAATCTTTGTCTGAGATATTAAGAAAGAGAAATGAGTAAAACAAATCCTTAATCTGTTCCCATGATCAAGACCCACACCACAATTTAATGGGTTCATTTCTGGTCCATACCATACCTGCTTCCACTAAGTTTCATGAAAACCGGGTGAATTTTTTTTGTGCAATCTTGCTAACTAACAAACAAAACAAAAGACATGACCTTCTTGAGGGAGGTAATACTTTAAAAAAATATACAATTTCTACAACCTGCAGGTCATGGATGGAGATGTCATCACAAGAATGAGGACAGCTGCAGTCTCTGCAATCTCTGCCAAGGTACAGTGTCTGAGGGAAACAGTTTGAACTGTAAGGCATTAAAAAATAATGTTTTTTAAAAATTATTGTTATGACCAGTAGGCAATTTGTAAACCACAATGATCCAAAAGCCATCCCCTTTAATAACCTGCCAATTCTGACATCCCCCATCCCCTATGAGAGAGTGCTTCATGTGTAGATAGAACATTTGTGCGTGTCAGTGTCAGCTGCTGACTAAAATTTGGGATCCATCAAAAAGAACAGGAGGAATGCGTTCTTTACACTGACCGTATGTCCGTGTCAGTGGCTGTCAGTAAAGATTTTAACTTCTTCAGTAGACAGGCAGAATTCATAGAGACTCAGTAGAATTCGGTTTGACGTGTTTATGTGACAAGAGTACAAGCATCCCCCTCGGTAAAAATTAACAAATTGCCTGCTGGTAGTGACACATTGTCCAGGTTACTATATGAGAAAGTAAACAGATTCAAAGGTTAAGCTCTTTCAAAGAAACGTCCATTCCCTTTGCAAAGCTTCAGTTCTCAGTAATTACCTGTTTTCTAATGTTGCTCTGTCCATAACTTTGACTCTCTTGGATTTGTCATGGTGTGTTCTCATCACACAGCTGCTGATGCGTCCAGAGGCAGAGGTGCTGACCATCATGGGGACCGGCCACCAGGCCCTGAGTCATTACAATGTCTTCACTGAAATGTTCTCCTTTAAAGAGGTACTGTGTATACAGGGGTGGGATGCTGCCCCGTAAAACAAAAGAAAAACAGTGTCACGCTTCTTGTTTTTTGTTATAACAAAAGTTTTGTTATGCTTAAACAAGGTATTTTCCTGACAACATACAAAAATTACCATATTATAAGTGTGTACAGTTAGAAACAAGCTGAAGTTCATTATTGATTTATGAAAGGTGAGATGAGAGGGGGTTAATAGATGATTGTGTATTGTAAAACATTTTGTTCCTCTTTTTTTGCACGTGGGACAAACCAGTTAGATATTGCCAAAAACAAACGAAAAATGTAAGTGGTAACTATATTAAAGGCAATTTGTAGTATTGATTTAATTTTTGCTACTACAGTGGGAATGTAAAAAGGCAGTGTCTGTTTCTGTGACATTCCACTGTGACCTCACACATTGGTTAGTAAACTGCTGCTTAGAAGCCTTGAGTTATTGTATTCCTGCCAATGCCACACTGATTTTTGAAACCAGAATGAACCTTAACCCATTTGGCAGTACTAGCTGTTGATCACACTGTATCCATGTCCCAACACATCCTATAACTTAAACTTAACTTAAACTTAAACTTCCTTTATTGATCCCACAAGGGGAAATTCTTTTTACACTCATGTTTTTCATTTTTAATACATGCATTAATCCACAATCCCACACACACACAGGGCTCAAAGACATGCATATTTTGGAGAGAGATGGTAGAGTGATGGGCAGCCCCCAGGAAAAGCGCCCTATGAGCAATTGGGGGGTACGGTGCCTTGCTCAAGGGCACCTCAGCAGTGCCCAGGAGGTGAACTGGCACCTCTCCAGCTACCAGTCCACCTTCCATGCTTATGGTCCATGCTGGACTTGAATACTATGATTTATTGTCTACATGATTCTAAATGGGACCCTCATTTACTAAATGAGCATCATGCTGTATTGAGGGAGACTTGAAACTAGTGATCGAGAGCATAAAGTCCTTAGATAATGTTTACTGACATAAATCAACTGAGATGTGGGATCGACCTGTGGAGTCGTCCTCTGCTGGTCATTTGTGAGAATACAGGTTTCAGCCAGTTCTGCAGGTGCTTCACTCTGACCTTGAGTCATTATTTGTATACAGTCTATAATTAATTTGAGCAAAGAGAAAGATTGAAAACCAACCTGAACACTGAATCTGTTTTTTTAGATGCTCTCCAGTGCTTTCCAGTGTGTGCAGGCATATCTTGTCCACAAGGATGTCCTAAATTATGACTTTCTGAGTCAGTGCTGTTGAAATGAGTTCTGTGATTGGTTCACCCCAGGTTCGTGTGTGGAGCCACACGAAAGAGAGAGCTGAGGTGTTCATGAAAACAGTCCGGGGCCCTGTAACATGTTGTGCCTCAGCGGAGGAGGCGGTGAGGGGAGCGGACGCCATAGTGACAGTAACCAGATCTACTGAGCCGGTACTGTTTGGCAAGTGGGTCAAACCAGGAGCCCACGTGGCAGGTGGGAAGAAAGAATAAACACACAAACAGAAATAAAGGGCAAATATGTGATCAATTTTAGATTAGAACCAATAGCACACAAGTTCAGTTTTTAAGTGGATTTTTAAAAATGCTGCACATAAACTGTTTCTCTCTTGTTGCTGAGCAGCGGTTGGAGCCTGTAGGTCGAACTGGCGGGAGCTGGACGACGCGTTGATGAAGGAGGCCGTGGTGTACACCGACAGCAGAGAGGGAGCGCTGGCTGAGTCCGGTGACATCATTCTCTCTGGGGTCAGTCACTGATTGACTGAGGTGTGTATTATTGGTTCTCTGTGCAGAATATGATTGTGGATGTCGGTTTTTCAGGCAGAGATGTTTGCAGAGCTAGGAGACGTTATTAATGGGACTAAACCAGCACACAGAGAGAAGACAACTGTGTTCAAATCCCTCGGTAAGCTCCACCTTATGTACGTCTATAAATCTGTATCATGTGGAAAGTATTTTTATGTTTTATGTCAGGACAAGTTTTCAATTATATTTTCATGGTATTCTGTGTTTCTGAGTTGGTTGTTTTTTTATAACAGGAATGGGAGTTGAGGATGCAGTGTCTGCCAAGCTGGTGTTTGATCAATGGAAAGCCAAACACAGCTGGCCATGAAGTAACGTTGTTCTTCAGACTCTGGGTTTGACCCATGTCACACAAGTTGATCAAGAGAATTAAACAAAGTCCTAATCATGATGTTTCACCCCATTTCTATAGCATCAACTAACTAAAACCTAACTTACCATAAAAAGTATCACTTGAATATACATCAGTGTTATAAGAACTACCTAAAATGACAGAAACCCTGTATGAAACATGTAAATCACATATACTTTGACTTTTTGGTGTTCATGCACCATCTGCTAACATGGAGGAGGCTGGGGTTAATGACCTATACTGCAGCCAGGTACAAGGGGGCGATCAAGATGAGTTGGCTTCACTTTTGGGAGTGGTCATGTTGTCCAATTATTAAATAGTCTATGAAATGTGTTAACATTTGCTATTTAGCCTTGAATGTTACAATTTTCAAATATTGTATGTGCTAAATAACATTTTTATCACTTGCATCATTTGTTGCACTCTTAAATCTGACTACTTCCCTAATACTTCCCTGTGCTGTTCTGTGTTTAGACAGAAGATATAAAACACATCAGAGCATTTTCAAAGTATTTATTTGCTTTAAAAAAAAAAATCAGCAAGTTACTATATGGAAATTAAACCACATTTAGCAAGAAATCTGAGTGTGCACTTCCTATGTTCTGTTGAAACACTAATAACATGAGTCTGGGTTTAAAGTGGTTTAACAGAGTACCTATACCATTTGATCAATGCTCATTTCAAAATAAAAGTCATCTGCTGAAGGTCGCATTGAACAACAAAGACATTTAAATGAGTAACAACCTTCGAGAGATGATACGCTGGCTCAAAAAACAGTGATAGATGGGGTCATAATTAAATGGTCACACACCATTATGAAAACAATATGAGTGTCTTTTACTAAATAAAATTAATATTCAAAGCGCTTTTAGAGCAAAAATTTAGTGAAAGTGAAATGATAGATATAATTTTTACACATAAATAGACAAGGAGCCTGTGGTGGCACTGCACCTTCACATGCTCGACAATAAGTCAAAAACACTGTCTTCATTTAACATGTAGTGAGAAGAGAGCAATGTTTTCGTCTAGAAAGCTTTTAGGAACAAAACAAAATAACTAACTGTTAAATATCCATCAGATACTGTGTTTTAATTAATACTTCACTTAGCAGCTGCTATGACGACGGCGCTATGAGCCAATTTAATAATTTCAGGGTTAAAACAGTTCTTCATAATGACAATAAATGCAGTTTAAAATAAAAGTAAAAGGAAGAAAAAAGAAAATGGTAGTGTTTATGGAGTGACTACACAGTGGTGACCGTTGACTGGGTTTTGGCAGCACCACAGTCTCATCAGATGACTCGTGTAAACAAAACAGTCCGTCATTCAGCTGACAATTAAAAAAGGAGAAATTTGAGCTTCTAAAAAAATTGATCTGAAAAGTTATAATTTCATTAAGGCAGCAGAAATCTCTTGTGTAAGGGAAAGAGCGCAGTGCAGGACCTCCTTCTGTACTAGAGTTGAATCTACGGTCATTTCATCATAAATTCACGTTCAAGTAGTGTTTCTTCACAATGTTTTTCTTGTACAATCCTCCTTCTAACTCGTCAATCAATCCCAGATCCCAAATCGAATCCCCCACCCTCACATTCCCCCCAAGGCCTATAGCAAAATTATTTAATTTCTGTCAATCTGAAAGGGCAACACAGATTTAAGAAACCACAGGTCAGACCTGACTGAGAACCATCAGCTCTACTTAAATCTGTGGCGTTCTTTCAGACTGAAGTCTGATCTACCAGAGCTTCTACAAACAAACAGATACTTGGGGCGAACCCAGATATCATCGTCTTCCCTCTGAGTAGGCGAGTTCTGACTGAAACCGTACTTTCTGCTCCACCCGTTGGTCTGCATTACAAGATTTTGCACTTCCTCCTCCTCTTCTTGACGGGTGGGGGGCACAGGACCGCCCTGATGGCTTCGTCAAACACCGTCTTAAGGCCGCGCTGTGTCAGAGCTGAGCACTCCAGATACTTCACTGCACCTGGTGGCCAAAGGGGAGCGAAACAAAAAAAACAATTCAGCAATTAGATGGATTTATTTGCATGGGATGATCATAAAGTCCAAAAGTATTCGATAGATAAATAGTAGCACAAAAACAAAATTACAAATTTAAAAAACATCCGAATTGTTAAGATGATCAAGATGATCCAATTAATTATTCCCTGAGAGATCAAGGAAAAGGTTAAACTTGAAATAATAAAACTGACATCTTGTTTCTAGTTGCAGCATTATTTAGACTAAAATGTTTTAAATAGGAAACTTTTCAAACTCTGTAAAGATCTGCAGATAACCTCCAACAGAATTTAGCTTAAAGACGAGGTGGTACCGCTATATTATAAGAAACTTATGCTGCTATGTAACAATTTTTTTAAACGATAGAGACACAACTCTCCCCAAAAAGGGGTCTTTCATTTTGAAATATTAACAGTATGTACTCTGATTTAAAAACTGGATAAGTGAATGTGCTGGGCTTCAACTGACTTATTTCTTTAGCCATGGCCAGGCCCTGAGGGTAGATGATGGGCGCGAGTTTCTTCTCCTTGAGCTTTTCGATCGTGTCCTTGTCGTCTCTCAGGTCCAGCTTGGTGCCCACCAGGATGATGGGTGTGTTGGGACAGTGGTGTCTCACCTCGGGGTACCACTGCAGGAGGGGGACAGAGTCAGAGGCGGCAGGATGCAGATGGACTGTGTGGAATGTGGGTGTGTTGCTACAAGAACTTTTTTTTTTCTCAGTTTCCTGGTCGTTATCCAACTCAACATGATGCAACCTTTGAGGAACTCAGAGATTTAAACTTCCACCAACACTGAACAATTCTCAGTGTTACTGAAAATTGAGAAGTAGAAAATAATATCTGTTCCGATAAAAAACATCAACACAACTGGTAGAGGGCTGGTTATAAACTCTACCAGTTGCAGTTTTTATGGCTGTTTAGTTAACATCAGAGACCACATTTGATTTCATTTTGAATCCCTCAAAGTGCACATCTTGAAGTCAACTTTCTATCTTTTACTTTTAGAGCTGTGGAAATTGTTTGAAATCCTGGTGAGTGGCCAAAATGCCACATCTGGATCTGTGAGTCAGTTCTTTCTCCACCCAAGCGGATCAGACCATGAAACTTCATGGAAAACAGATCATGAGTGTTTGGGGACAGAAGAATTAATATGATCCTCACTGGCAAAGGCAACACTTTGAGAGATCAGGCTGTTCAGGCTCACCTTGGCACGGACGTTTTCAAAGGAGGCTGGACTGACGAGAGAAAAGCAAATCAGGAACACATCCTGAGGAAGAAAGATGACACCATTAGTCACCTTTAAAGACATTATACCAAAAGAGACATACTTTTAAGAGTAAAAGCTTCATGTTTCTGTTCTAAAAATTTGATCTTAAATAATGATTAGAAATAAAAGCTATAAAATGAATCAAAACAATTCACAAATGTTGCTCTGGAATGGTCTTGTTGGTTAAATACAAACTGACTCCCACTTTCAGCTCCCTGCAAGTCTCTGGCACAAAGACCAGTTTGTTGGTCAAAGGACAAAGAGGACAAACAAGAGCTCCCTTTCACTTCCTTCAGCCGTCCTTCAGGCAGTGTATAGGTACTGTGGATACGAGGCTCGTCTGTGCTGCGTGCACACACTCTGTCCTAAGTAATCCAGGCCAGTGAATAACTCCAAATCAACGTGAAAACAGCATTCAGGCCAACATTGTCTGGCTGATACTGGTCTGTGCAGGACAGTGGACAGAGGCAAGCAGTTGTTATTACAAGTGTGTGTGTGCAAATGCAAAAATATACACATACTGTCTGTGGGTAGGAGAGTGGCCTGAGTCTGTCGTAGTCCTCCTGTCCTGCTGTATCCCACAGACCCAGGTTCACCGGTTTCCCATCAACCATCACATTGGCAGAGTAGTTGTCGAAGCTAAAGGAAGAAAGGCGAATATTAGGTTTTCAATAAAGGAAAAAACTTGTGAGAATGAAAATGTCAGATTCAGTTGCTCCAGACGTTTTCGGGAACTTTTCCTGCCAGCCCCAATGCAGCAGGACAATGTCTGGAAAATTCATAGTGAGTGAGTGGGCGTGTTGACTAACTGGAAGAATACAAAAATGAAGGATTTAATAAAGGATTTGAGAGCTTTTGGTGATAAAAGCAGATGTTGGTGTTGATGTGCTGTAAACAAAGACCCATGATTTCAGAATTTATAAGTTATGTCCTGCATCTCGCATGCTCTTCCAAGTGACCACCCCTGCCTCAACGTTCCGCACATTTTCCATGTTGATGTCAAAACGTCAGACTTGGACAATCTCCTGCTGCGTTTCCATAGGAAAGACGTGAAAGACATAATCCGGAAAAGACCAAATTCATGTCTGAAAACGGCTTATGACACATCAAATCTTTGTGTATAATAAAAGAGATGTAAATGCAGATTTTGATTGTTTGCTTCCTGCTTCCTGTCGGGGAGGGGGCTGGCTCCGTCACCTGAACCTTGTTACATTTCCATCTCCGTCTGTGTGTTACTTACACTGTGGGGATGTACTCTCCAGGGAAGGCATTGGTGGTGTAGCTGATGAGGAGGCATGTTTTACCCACAGCCCTGGGAGGAGAAAGACAACGGATAAACAATATAAAATACAAAGATGGAAAGTGAAGATTGCTGTTCAAGATACACTTATTCTGTTAGTTTAAATTGTGACAGTAAACTCTTCAGTGACATGATATTTGTCCTATTTGATGCATGTTTAATGCGTGTCCTCTGACACGTTAATGACAAGGTACAAGGAAATGGAAATAAACCTTTAACTTTATCGCAGATGTATCCTTTATTTCAGGCCTCTCTGTGCAGCCTATTATTTACCTCTTCCTAAGTGTTTAACACCTCAGAAAGTTCATGTTTATATTTTGAAAACATTTGTCGAACCCTCTTTCTATACAGTCTATGGTTTAAACGTGACTGCTCGATAACAGCTTTGAAGAACAGACACAATTAAAATGGTAGTAATTCATGTGAACAAAATGTAGCTGGTCTTGGGAAAAGTTTGCTTGGTGTGATGATGGAAGTCAAACTACATGGCTATATGACAAAATACATTGAAATTGGTGAAATACTATAATATAATAATGTTTTTTAAATAATTCTGACAATTTATGACTCAGCCGTTAATGAGACAGATTCACTGTTCCTTTTGTGTATTGTAAGTAAGGCTGGCCCTATTTGTGTCTCTATGGCTTTCACTTTCTTTATTCTTAACATATGCATTTTTATTGCCTGCCCAGGGACTACATATGAAACTTAGCCTCTGTGAATAACTCTGGCATATTTTCAAAAATGTTATTCATATGCATTCTCCCTGTCAATTAAAGTAATTAATTAAAGTATTCTTAATCTGTATATCACACTTACACAAGAGCATTTCAGTATTCTGTGTATTTCAAAATAAAAAGAGTCTTAGATTTTGCACCACACCTTGTCAGAAAACTATTTTAACATGAACCAGATTAACTACAATTCAAATGAAGCTTTTACACGTTTGATGCCTGAGAATAAGTTTGATTGTTGTTTTTCCAGTTTGTAATAAAGTAAAGGACTTTTATAGTAGACACGTGATTATCTAGACACGCTATTGTTGGTGAATTCAACATGAAAGTTACTGAGCTCTGCTGTGAGTTGGTTGAAAACAGATGATCAGTGCAAACAACACCCACAGGACACAGCAGCTATTTAACTTGAACTTGTTAAGTCCAGGACACGTTGAGCTCCCTCCAGTCACATCTGACCGGAGCATGTGGATCAATCTGTCTGACCCAGCCGAACTGGAGAGCGGGGACACAACAGCAGCTGTCACCCATGTCGGCGCGTTATCTACAGTGGGAACTGGGTCAAACAGCCCGTCACCGACCGAGACGAACAAACCCCGGCCATTTTCTAGCAGGGTTTATCAAAGTGAGGCTAAAATACAATGTTAACTCACCCGTCCCCCACCACCACACACTTGATGGCCTGCATCGGACGGCTCGGTGTGGTTAGCTTAGCGTGCTAACAGATAAGCCCGTCCGCACCGTGCGGCCTGGAAAGTACAGAGCGAGAGGAATAACGGGAACTCGACCGCGCACCGCAAAGTTCAAATATGTTTGTTTTTGCTGAGATAATCCGGTTTGAGTCGTCTTCTCCTCGGCAACAGTCCTCCCCCGAGGCACCGGAGCAGCGAACCAGGCAGGGAAACACCCAGGGAAAGAAAAAAACAACAGGTTTGGAGTCAAGATGGTCAAGATTGAGGGAGGGAAAAAAACGCCCTCAGTCAGAGAAGCTGCAGCTCCCGAGATCCCAGAGAGTCACATCCGGTCAGAGAGGAGCGTCAAACCCCGCCATCTACCGGCAACAACACAGAACCCATCATCTACCATCAACAACACAGAACCCATCATCTACCATCAACAACACAGAACCCATCATCTACCATCAACAACACAG